ACAAATGTGATAATAATGATAATATATACAGAATATATATATATATATATATATTACTTATATATATAAAATATATAATGAATATACTTTCAATATATTTGATTAGATTTATGCTTTAAAAATGGTAAGAAAAATAAATGTAGTTCAAAATCATGACAAAAATAGTGATTAATAAGTTGATCTTTTGCATATAATGTATTAATTTTTTTTTAAATTCATGGTAGATTTGATGGTTGAATAGGATTACGCCATCACTATAGAGATTCATCTTTTGAAATATACCTAAATGGCTCAAGTTCTTACTCAAAAACATTTCTCTCACCAGTGATAGTGGCATGAACATTGTGCTTCTCAATCAATAGGTAGCGTGGACTTTCTGGAAACCAAGGTAACAACATCAACTGGATAAAGGTAGGGACAACCACAAGAGAGAGAAACAGTGGCCAGTGCTCCTCCTATCAAGAAAAAAAAGCACAAATTAAAACAGAATGCTGAACTCGATTTCATAACTGTATGATGTTAAATATAATATTGAAGTTAAATACGCTGTTGCACCTTCCCCAAAAGTTCATGCAGGCCCAAGATTTGAGCTGAGAAAACCCCAGCACAAATGAAAATGCTGGGCATGAGACCCAGGAAACCTCTCAGGTTTTTGGGAGCAATCTCTCCAAGGTACATGGGCACCACGCTAAGAGAGATACCTGGAAGATGGAGATGAGGAAAGCATATCAGAGTCCATTCATGTCTTTCTTTGCTCTCCATTCTTTTTTTTCAATTGGGACAGACCTGAATGTATTCCTGTGACAAAACGACCAAAGATGACCATTTCGGGCGAGCTGCAGATCCTGCTGAACCCCATGAAAGATGCTGCTAAGAACACCAGTATAGTGGAGTTTACCACTGTTCCTTTCCTGCAAAAGCAAACCTTGTGAAGTCCTGCTCTGGCACTGCTCATTAAGCTAGGACAGTCATGCTTGATATCCGGACACCTGGGAGTTTAACTATCAAAATCAGATAACTGATGTTCCATGACAGTGCTGCTGTGTGAAATAGCTGCATTCCTTGATTAGTTCTATCAAGTTGTAAACTTTCCCCCTGATTTACAGACGGCTGCACCGTGTTCTGCGTTATGATCACCTTACTGCTATAAAACATTTTGCTGGACTGAAATTGATTAGAACAATAAATAGGATCATGAATCATCGTCTTTCATTTGCATTTAAATGTCTGCAGTCAAATCTTGTGGCGCCACTCATAGACACTCAGAACAGACTAGACAGGAGTCTTCCAGAGTGCTTAACATAAGTGTAAAGAAGAAGCACAAAATAGAATTGTAAGCTATGGCTAGCATAGCGCACATAGTTAGAAACTGGTAAATTAAACGGTTTTGTCACTATGCAATACTACATAATGCCACAGATGTAAAAAATTCTGGTTGTGGCCATAAAAAAAATTCTGTCATTATTTACTCATCCTGATTTTGTTCCAAACCTATAAAAATAGAATACAACTGGGGGGCGGGGGTGCTGGATTTGAATACTAGTAGCTCGTTTCCATACAATTACAAAGAATGCAGACAGAAGCATTCAAGCTTCAAAAAGGACAGAAAGCATCATAAAGTACCATAAAAGTGGCCCCAAGACAGAGCTGTTGTTTGGCATCAGAAGACTTGGAATATAAATCACACAGACAACTTTTATGATACTTTCATTGTGCTTTTGTCTTATTTTTGTAAGCTCTATATTCTACATTCACTGTAATTGCATTGAAAAAACGACCAGTGTGTTATTCAAAATTAGTTTTCTATGGAATAAGTAAGTCATCCAACAACATTTTGAGTAAATGATGATAGCATTTTTATTTTTGTTTGAACTAATCAGGAACATGTTGGAGCCTAGTGGACTGAACAAAATGTCTGCTAGTTTCCAGAGTACAAACAAGGCCATTTACAAGGCAAAGGCAAAGTCATTCAATGCTGTCAGAGGGGTCAGGTGGGGTAACAGATGAGGAAGAGTATACCTCGGTGGCCTTGACACTCAGAGGAATTTCTGGTAGAGTGACCAGTGACCACAATATGCCAGATGCTATGGGTCTCCTTCTGACTTACCTTCCAAATTTGGTGACCAGTGTGCCCACCATCAAAGAGCCGACCAGGCCTCCAATCGCAAACACAGAAACGGTGAGAGAATACATGAGCGTCAGGGCCTCCTCGTTTAGTCCAGTTCCATTACGACTTACCACTGTACGGTTATAGAAGTCTTTAATGTACTGTGAGTGAATGGAAATGGAGAAACAGAGAAATTAAAGCATTTATTTCACAAAAAATCCTGTTAGTTACTCTTCATCATACTGTTGAAAAACTGTTGGGATTCATTTTTAGTGGAATTTTTGAAGATTATTTTGTTTTTTTTCCAAGTATTCCAAGTAAAACAGATTTTAAAGCTACAGAATAAAAAAATAAAAAATAACTATAAAAGTATCACAATAGTAGTACATACTGTATGTCCCATGAGAAGAACCTCAACGCCTGAAGAAAGCAAGTATGTTTCGAATGTCATGATAGTGATTATATTTTTGGGTGAAGATGAACTATTCTGTAAATTATTATTAATTTATTCATGTACACACAGAGAGGCATCATGACCAGCCATTCCAAATTTCACCAACTTTTCACATTTCAGGCATCTGTTCAGTGAGACACACCTACCTACATAGACTTACAAGCCTGTCTCGTGACAAGCTCTTCTGTCTTTTTTTTATTTCTGTCACGCACACCCTTTTCTGCATACAGGCCTACTTTAAGGTCACAGTCTAATTTAATTTCAGTTTATGTACCTTTTCTTTTCTATTCCAAATTAACTCAAGCTGGAACACTGCAGACTTGGGAGAACTCCAATATTTCAATTTTTCTCAAATGAACTAAAACAGAACAAAAACTTTAACAAAAAATGAGATTACCGATAACATTGATTGAACTTCTGCTTAATACATTTTTTTTTGTTGGAATTTCTATGTTTGAATCCTCTTCATTAGCACGTGATGTTCCAAGAAAAACAGCACAAAACAAAGCCACTTACATAGGGTATATAACAGCCAGTCAGGAGACCAGACAGGAAAATTTAAATATTTTCATCATTAACAGGCTAATGGGGCAGGGCAAATAGGTCCCTACTTATATACACGAAGAGCTGCTAGAGGCAACCACTGAAGAACAAAATGCCTGACAAGCCAAGATGAACAAATAACATCTGAGTCATCTACAAAATATTAAAATAAGGCATCAATTCTTTGTTTCTTTAATTTTATGGAGAAAGACTAAGGAGATTACACACACACACACACACACACACACACACACACACACATATTATATTATATTATATATTAAATATACATTTATATTACTCTTTATATTACCCCACAATTCCTTCAATTTAATTTTACACACTACATCAAGAATGTCTAGAATCAGAATGCATTGAATCATGTTAAGGCAACATTCTCTGACATCTTGCGCAAGTAGAGACTCTGTGTTCAGGCCACTTTGTTTATTCTGATATCTCTCTACTGGAAGACACTTTTTTTGATGAATGGAAATGTATTGGTTATGTTTTGTAGTGATTACTTTTTTTGATGAGCAGTTTTGGCAATCAAGGTATTGTGAAAAGCTCTTACCCCAGCAGGAGAGTTGACCACAGCTAAGTTGTATCCATAGAGCATTGAGCTACCAAAAGAGGTCAGGAAAGCCACTGCCAGCAGAGATGAGGTAAGATGCTATTAAGAAGAAAAGAGCAAATATGTATGGACCGTGAGCTTTAATTTTCCTCACTTTTTTCTTTGAAGTAGCTAGATGTTTCTGTTGTTTCTTTCTTTAAAAAAAAAAAAAAGCTTAACAGAAACTATGATCACATGTAGACCAGATGTTATAGAATCACATTCAAAAGTAGTCTCAGACATTCTTAGTGTGTTTTGGAAAAACTGAATCAGAAAGGAAACAAATGTTGACTTCAGAATTCAGATATATTGCTAATTACATAAATAACAGATTACATTACTATGCAATTATGACCATTCTATTATTGATCATAAAATGTTGGAGCAATAGTTTAGGTCAGATGAGGGGAGAATAGCTTTCTCATCGTGTGACTTCAGTGGTCGTTACACTTCAGATCATGAGTGGAAAACTTAATTAGTTCCACTAAGTGGTCAGATACAGTTGGTTATGTACAGTTCTACATGTGAGGGACGTTGTTGAAAATGTCTTGTGACATTAACTTAATGGATTTTCTTTGTTCTACACATCACAAAAGAACATTTTTTTGACATTGAAAATTAGTCAACATTAAATATTATTGATATTAAAATACATTTTAAACTGTATTTTAAACTATTAACTAACCCTACAAAACCAAACTATAACGACCAAATAAAATAAACTTAAAATAAACTGTTTTCTGTATTATGTGTTATGTTGCAGCTGCAATTTGAGACATAGCCTATATAATATGACATTCAGAATAGGGTTTAAGGATGATCAGACAACTAACGTTAGAACGAAAACAAATAGGATAAGTTACAAAACATAGGTCTAAGTTACTTAGGCTATATTAATAACAAAACAAGAACATTTTAAGTGATAAAATAGTGTAGGCTACTTACCGACGTTATTTTGCCTGGACTCGTAATTAACACTTCTTCGGCCATTTTAAAATTGTTTATAGGCTACAAGATTTCTTGAGAAAACCCGTGTGAGTTAAGTTTAGTTAGTTACGACTGGCCGTGTTTTAGAGCTACCGGCTTCTCCACCGACTTCATCTTTGACATGAGGGAGTGGTGATAGTAGACATGAGGGTGTGGCCACACTGGATTGACAGCCAAAACATCGTATGATTGACAGCGAGTCGACCACTCATCTCATCAGTCCTGTCCTGCACTTCCGACCTGAAGGCGCGAGTCTCTTAACAAGGCCAAGCTTGTACAATCACATGACAGTCAGCAACGTGATTCCTGCTGAAATCAATTAGCTAAGTGAATTTACAAGGTCTGCAGTCACTAGAATGAGGGAACTACGGAGAATCATAATAGTAAGTAATTCAAAAGACTGGGGAAGAAATCCAACGGGGGAGCAAAAAGGCGATATTCATAAATGATTTGGTGTATCAATCGATTTAGAATAGATGAGTAGGATACATAAGCGTTATTGAATGCCACTAGTGTCATTCTGTGAACTCAATTAGGATATAGTGCGTTTTAAACATCTATATATTTTATCTTTTGATATTTTAACCTTCAAATGGTCATCGTTTCCTGTTTACACTTCTGGGCTTCGGGCTAGTTATTGACCATTTCACAAGATGTAAACAACACTGGCCCAGAAGCACTTCCTGTTTCAGTTTTTTAACACTACATAAAAGCTGGGATAAAATACAACCACTAGAAACTTTAAAACTGAATCAAAAAGTTAAACAAACATCTTTAAGATGTTTTCTTTACATGTGAAATAAAAAAAAAACAGTTACAAACTGAAACAGGAAGTGCTTCTGGACCAGTGTTGTTTACATCTTGTGAAATGGTCTAGGAATTGATTGAGTAGTTGTACAAAAAAATATACATTTTTAATCATACAAATAATCTATCATTTATTTTTTTTGTTTACTTATCTATTTATTAATGCTGTGTTTTTGGAGATAAAGTACTTTTGTATCCATAACACACAATTTCTCAACTAGTCTACACTATTAGCTTGCATATGAAATATTATTTTTTTTATGATACATTGCATTTATGCTCTTGTACTAGGCCTTCATTTCTGTGTAAAAAAATTCAAATTTATGCTGGATTTTTTTTTTTTTTTTGACACATGAAAATATATTTAGGTTTTTTTTTCACATTTCCCATTCATTTCAATGTGGGGTCATATTGACCCAGAAGACCAGAAGTGTAAACATTTTTTTTTTTTTACATACCTTCAGAACAACCATATCAAGCCCAGTTTTTTTGTGTGTATAGATAGATAATGTATGAAAAGTCACAAAATCTTATTCCACTGAGATGAAGGGAACCTTTTTTTATCAAGGAAAACTTGATTGGGGACCCCATGACCCGATTGAGGGTTAAACTTTTGTTTGGTCTGGCAGGCATGTGACGCCAACTTTTTCTGATACAATAATTCCTCATGAATAAAGTTTATGTCGGCATGAAATTAAAATTCACCTATCTATTTCCTAAAATGAATGTTATAGATATTGAACAGTTCATATGTTTCAGCATGTTCTCTCTCTCTCTCTCACCAATTAAATACAAGAAGTACCTGCTCTACATTTTTTTCCTTTTCAATTAACGTTAGCCCATGTGTTGGGTGGGTGTACAACAAATTGTAGTCAACAATTTGACAAAAATGTCAGATTTGTCTCACTATTGCCATTTCATAGCGACTTTAAGTCTTGTTCTATATTTGTTTGTTAAATATGCTCATGCGTTGTTTTTTTTGTGAATGACAATTCATAATACTTTAACTCTGAGGTGAAAGAAATGGTGACAGTGTAAGATGGCTCTCTTTGATCATAGCTACTTCCATGTTTTACATTAGAAAGATGTTTTGTCTATGAGTCTATTAACTGTATATTTATAAAAGTATATTTATAGTATGAATGAAATTCAGATGTACAATCATGTTGTCATGTGTCAGGTGTGGCTTCACTGGCATTTACAAATCCTCTCCCGTGGCTTTATGGGATAGTTTCAAAATATCACCAAAAGTTGTACGTCATCTGGAAACTTTTCACCTACACTTGAATACTATGATGAATGCTTCTTAGTTCACATGCTGTTCCTCATCTCTTGTGTTTATTTATAATCCGCGTGACTGTGAATGGATTCAAACAAAGGTAACTGTAGAGTTTGAGTCACGAGTTAACACCATTTTTTACAGTCTATGGTTAACACTTATATGATCATTATTAGTTGAAGTGTGGTGATGATGATGACACGTTTTGATGTGTGAAACTCAAAGAAAGTTCCAGAGATCTTCGTCACTGGCCTGTGATTGCCTCAGGACTTACACAGGATATGACTGATCTGTCATAAGACTCATATCAACAACTTCATGCTGCTTTGCGAAAAGAAGTTTTAAAATAATACTCCATACATGGAAAGCATATGTGTCTTAGGGGCAACCCAAATAGGAAGATATGTAAACTTGAAATGTAGGCTAATATGAAAAGGCTCTTCTCTTGATCTGCTAGCAGGATATTTTTAATGCTTGCTTGGACCAGGGTCTGCTATCAGCATTAATTGGTGTTTGAGAGATGACAGGTTTGCTGTTTTTGTGATGTCCCCAGACTCCCCAGTATTGCATTGCTTGTATTTTGTGTTCTCATCCAGTTGAATTCAGGAGAAGTGAAATCTTTTAATTCACATTGTATTAAAGTCAGCAACATTTAAACTTGCTAAAGCGTCGGCAAATAGGTCAGAACAATCGCGCTAAATCTACAAGGATCTGTCCCTGATTTTGTTTATTTTAAGGTTGACAGATAATATCGAATAGACTGGACACATGATTGTTACAAACGTGATGTGCATGTTAAAAAGAGTTAAAGTCAATAATAACACAATGTTATAGCACTCGCATACACCTCTCAGACAGCGTACCATCCCGAATTCAGTTCTGTTCTTCAGCTTATATGGCCAAATACATGTCAAAATGAGTAGTATTCATGTAAACAGTCAGTTATGTATTAGAACGTAAACGGTTAAGAAAATGCACTATGTGACAGTATATGGGATCCTTGTTTTAGCTCTGCAAGTGACAACAGCCTAATGAACCTGCTGCTGTCTGTCATTAATGTTAAACAAACAACAACTTTGAAGTTTTTACCTCTTTTCCACCTCACTTTTAAATGCCCATGCAGCCCCGTAAATTTTATTTTTAGCAGCAATTCAGGGGCGGCAATTGCTTAAATCGCATGGTGAGTTCATTATTATTCTTAATGAAAAGCACAACAAAACAGTACCATGACAAACTTGCTTTTATTAAACAGAACTTTTATTAACAAAATTAGTGCTTTAAAAAAAAAAAAAAAAAAGTCAGCAGTCAGCTCACCTCACTCTTGTCAAGACAGCACTCCTCACTCTCGTCACTAGGGGTGTAACAGTTTAAATTACTCACGGTTCTTGAGTTCTTTGGTTTTTTTCACGGTTTTAGGGTCACAGTTTCGGTTCGGTATGTGCTATGTTAAGGGGAAAAATAACTACTGTCAAATAAAAATATAGAAAATAAGAACAAATAATCCAACTATGCAACATCACAAATAAATACAATAGAGCAAACATACAAATAAAATAAACAGTTTTTTTTTGAGGTATCTAACAGTAGTTTTCAGGTACAGAAATTAAAGTAATTGAATGTAAGACAACATTGCATATAATCTTCACCCACTGTATTAAATTTAAGTATTTAATCTTAAATGTATTTTTTAAGCAGGGTTCTTTATTGCTGTTGCATCGCTGTAGTATTCTCTAAGAGTGTCAATTTTGATTTTAAATCAAAATCAATCGAAATGAATTAAAATCAAAATCGAATGAAATTAATTCACAATCTCGAACTTCAAATTAAAAAATTAAATCGTCGATGCTGCCACGGTCCCATCATGTCACGTCCGTCTGGCTTGCCAAGTGGAAAAAAAAAACGCGTGTTGAAGTGCTTCGAGTCGATTTGTCAACCTTCTCTAACGTAGCTACAGCCATTCAAAAGATAGCATGGCAACTGCAGATGCAGGAGACCCATCGACGTGTGGAAGTTTTTTTGATTTCCAGTGAGTTATGTTGACAACGTTCGTGCTTCAAAAAAGCCACCTCTCCCCGAAAAGTTCAGAGAGTCTCCCGCATATTGATAGCAGCTCCCTGAAGCACGCAAATTAGTTAAAATCTCCTGGAGAGTGAGATCTAGAGTGAGCGAGCAAGAGCGAGACAGAAAAGTACTCCAAACCATATTGCGCACATGGCAGAGAGGGAGAGAGCGAGAGACTTTGCGTGTGTGCCTCATGAAGCGCATGTAAGACAGAGAGTATCCTGATTGGCTGATTGATAAAAATCGAGAATCGAATCGAACCGTGACCTTAGAATCAAAAATATAATCGAATCGTGACACCCCTAGTATTCTCGATATACATTAGCCTAACTCTGTCTGTTTGTTTTAATGTATCATTCATTCTCTACCTGCAGTTCGTCACACACTTGCACCGTAAAAGCTGCAGCTGAACACTGGTAACAACGATATCGCAGCAAGCCGACTGAATAACTTTCATAGCTTTAATAAGAATCAGTGTTTATTTAGTTCACAAAGTGAAGACTTTTATTTTTACATTTGCTTTTTCAATTTCTGTTTTGGACATTAACTTATCACATATCACACTCCTCTTTAATATCGTGCAGCCCCAATTAATAAGTAACTGAATTATTTTTTCAGAGAAAGCTGACCTTGTGGCCTGACATGGCTTTACCTAGTCAGACTTCACATATAAAAGTCAAGTCTTTTGTTCTCTATTTCCATGTTGATTCAAACCTGGTTTTATTATGGCACTGACAGAGTAAACGTAAAGAAACGTGCTCTTCACAGGCTCATCATCATTCCTCCTTCACTCCTCAATCCTCGCTAGCATGTGACCCTGGAGTATAGATTGAGCCGGTTTAGTTGATTGCTGTTGGTGTGTTCTTGTAATGTAGGGTTTGAGAGTGTTGTGTAGTTGATCAGGTTAAGAATGACTTAGATTGATGGCTGCCCCTGAAACCTAATATCCTTTCCCTCTATGGCTGATTCTCTGATGAATGTAATCAGGGACAGCTACTCACAAGCTGACAGCAGGTTAGATTTCTCCAGATCAATGGCTATGTCCTCTGTCTTTTAGAGTCTTTCTTTATAGCCAGTGGTTGTTAAAAATCACACCTCATTCACTCAGCTGTATTTGTTGATTTAGAAGAACTTGAGCTGGATATGATTTATGATTGATATATTAAAATAGTAATATTGTGAAATATATTATTACAATGTACAAATAATTATAATTTCCAAATAATCATAATTAAT